TAGTTGGTCTTTGTTATTGTCCCACTCGCGTTTCCACGGTGGCGTTCGTTCACTCAATATTTACCTCTGGGTATTATCAGACAATTGTTGTTTCCAGCTACTGTTCTTCGATCTTTTCTTTTGGGAGCTTCTAGGAACTGCTTTCTCTCCACTGTTTTCGCCGTATCCACCTCCGCTATCGTTTCTCGGAGAACATTGGCCGGGTTCATAACCCCGTGACAACTCCTCAATCTCAGGTGAATGAAAGCCGAGTGCCATTGCTACACATGCTAAGTGCGATGTCCATTCTGTCCATGCTGTGTCGTCTTTTTCTTTTTTTGTGTCGTTTCTCATCACAAAAAGCCACAACTGTTGATAGCTGGACACGAACTGTCCTTGATTTCGCTCTTCCACTGTCCACTTATCCTTCAATTTCTGTAACTGATCCCGGCTAGGATACGTCGTTTTGTAAATTTGCTTCAGCTGGTGGTATAAAGGTCGATCACATTTTCTCCTTCCAAGTATCCTTTTCATGCTGTGGCTCCATCTCTCAAGGTAGGTGATATGTCGATAAAAAAGACTTAGGGATGGAATGATGCCGTTATATGTAACCAGTCTTTTCTTGATGATTTTCCTTGAATTCAGGTCAAACCTTTTGAAAATAGTGTTCTCCTCAATCAGAGTAGTGATTAAAATCCGATCAGCTGATCTCACTGCAGGTGCTAGCCCTTCTAGCTGTTTCACGGTCTCTGCATCAATTTGGTTTGCCATTTGAAGACGTTCGTCCAGCGTATCCCCGGTCATCAGACCAGCCCAAAACGCGACGAGGTAGTTCACCAGCCAGTTCTCATATTCCTAGCAATTGATTAGTTTATCTACCAAGACCATCTTCAGTGACTTACAACTTCACATTTTGTTGCATGGGAGGTCTTTATTCGTTTCGGGTTAAAGAATGGTGCTAGCGCCGGTATGCCTAACATTACTAGATCGAAAGTTTTACGTGTCCAAACACAACCATCCAGGGTTATCATGTTATCCATAATATTCTTGTTCCCACTGGATTTGTATAAGGTCACTCTGAGTGCTTCTACGACTTCGGACTCCTCGCCCAAGCTTCTCTCAGCCTCCCGAATTTGGCAGTAGAGCACACCAGCGTTTATCGATCGGGGAACGGGATATTCATAGGCTATCAGCTTGACTTGTTCGGTTGATAGGCCTTTTATTCTCCCCATTAGCATCCATTGATCTACATTACTAGGGTGACATACCATCCTTGACCAAGTGAACATATTGCCAATCTTCGCCCGTAGGGTACACACTTAGGCTGGAGAGCGCCTTCAGCCGGGACATTCCATCAAGGCAGAGCAACTCACCGGGCTGAAATATTAAGCGTTCCGCGGAGTCGACTGATTTCGCGAGAGTTCCGGTGCTTGTTTTACTTCGTATTTGTGCCTCTCGGAAGGCCCTTTGCGATACCTGCACAATAGGCTTATGACAAAGCGAGTCTGCGTGCAACTCATCAAGCTGGTAAAATATTCTCCAATGTTCTACGTAGGTTGGAAGAAAAGATCTTTCTTTGTCCCGTAGAAAACGCACTTGGCGAGTCTGGACTTCTGCGATACCTAAATACTCCGGCCATCGGGTCAGTGGAACGCCTTTCATGTTTTTGCTGAACTCTGCATCTGTGTTCGCACCTAGGAGTTTTCATGTTTTGTTTTGGTTGTTTTTTATGGTGTGGCCCGCGGTCTAATATTGGACAGGCGCACGTGCCCCAAGGCCCGGTTTTAGCAATGGATGATGCTCGCTATAAAAGTGATTAGTTAGGAACTTGTCTTTCTTTTCCCGACCGTAATCAATATGGACGGTCAAGACCCGAACCTTCGTCCTCTTCATTTAGGGCAACAATATCCGGCCACGTTCGGGCCGGTGCAACGATACAATATAGAAATCCAGGAGAAATCGATTTGGGAGGTTTATGACACTAATGGCAGCTTTGAAAGTGTTGAGTTTAACAATGCTTCCTCTCGGGCAAATCCTCTCGACAAGTCAGTATATGCTATCCGAGCATATAATAAGGACAATGCAGAAGACAAGAAAAGAATCGCTACTATTCAACACACTTTAGATTATCTTCGACACGCTCGTACCACCCAGGATGAAAACATTCTATTCGTAATTGAAGCGTTTGACAATGACACAACATTCTACACGGTCTCGGAAAGCCCTATTTTGACGCTGTCTCAGATTACAGATTGGGCCCAAACGGAGAAGAAGGCTATGGATGGTCAGAAACTCAACGTTTTCACCCACATGGACGTCTGTTGCACTATGACACAGGTATGCTCACAGAAATGTCGCTCACGAGACTTCTTGCACTAACTATACTCAGCTTTCCCGTGGTCTTATCTTTCTAGCACTGAAAAAGCTATACCACGACGACCTCAATGACACTAACATATTCCTTGATTATTCTGGCGTCATCAAGATAGGTAAGTTGGGCGAACGAAACACGATACTTAGTAGTACTTACGCGAATTGATAGGTGGCTTTGACAACATGCGGCCTCTGCCAGGAACTCAGAAAATGAAAGACTATAAAGATATCAGGAATGCCACTAACGCTGAAGAAGCAACAAAGCAAGCTAAAGCTTCCTGTATAGAATCTTTACAGGGTCTTCCAAATGCATTTGTCAATATCATTGTCAATTTTGAAATACCGACAATCGAAAAAGTGCTGCGCGACGTGGGAAGGAAAGTCAACGACAGCAACTGGCGATTCCCCGTGGATGATTCCAGTGCCCTAGGGCTGAGCCTTATATCACTGATCTCTGACTTACGTAAGGTATATTAAGATATACATGTGATACTCTGTTCGTCTGTTAACCCGATCTATCGCTAGCCGTTTACTGTTCGGGACACGCTCCCACCGAAATATTTGCATGCCCGGGTTAGACCACTCATCCGCTCGGTATTTTTCCCGGCAGAGGGGTAAAAATAAATAGGACGGGTGCAATAGTTTTTAGGTTCAGGGCACGGTGCACTGGACTCTTCAATTTGACCATGATGTATTACGCTACACCTTTTGAGCCCAGGTGGTGCTGGATTGTTCTGGAGCTGTCAAGAAATTGAGGGAACAAATTGCAACTGTGTGCTCATTCTGGATTTGAACACGAGACCAACTTTAAATATACCTACCCCTTAGGTACTTGTTTTCCTTACTAGGGAGCGTCTGGCAATTTCATTACTAAGAGACGTATCGACACGGTACTATACGGAGCTTAATCTTAGAGTGCCTTACGGGGTGTGCCGCATCGCCCACCCCTAGCAAGTTTTCACTTTTCCCTGTCACACCCATATCTATTTTACGACCGAGTATAAGGGCCTAGCAGCAACTGTGCCCGCCCTAAATGAACAGTCTAGACAGTCTAAAAATTATTCCGCCATATCAAAATCTAGCGGTAGTCCAAGCCCCACGTTACGCAATCGTGAGGTACGATTTTCCAAAACGGAGCGAGCCGTAGAGCAACAATAGCTCCCTCCGCAGGGAGAAAAGTCCTTGGTGGAGTATGATATACGGTCATTGAAGAATGGTGAATCCCCCACTTTCAAATTCTTACGTTCTCACGGTAAGAGTCTTACGGAACAAGCAGAAAGCAAGACAAAGACAACTAGGTGGGTCACCCGATACTTTCTCTTCGCAAGAAGCTTTCAAAAATAATGCCATTTTCCGCTATTAAAATTCAAATCTGGATAATTGTTCCGCTACGTTTTCTAAAAAGCGCTTTAGATGATAGGTTCTATTCGGGACTGTTGCGTGAGAGCCCCTTGCGTCGGGCCCACGATATCCCGTGCTGGACATCGCACACAAATATCGCCTGGCCTTCCCCTCCCTCGAAAAGAACATCGCCGTTTCGAGGGAGAGCCGGGCTCTCTCCGCGACGGTTTCTTCCCGCCCACCGCGGAACCCCCTCATGTATATACCACGTATGCTCTCGCATAGCTATTTTTCCTCCTAGAATATACGGAGTGCCACGGGCCCGCCTGCAGCCCTCACGGCGCTGTAGCCCTCCGTCAACGAGGCCTACATCGCCAGTGTTCAGACCGCAGGTGCCCCGTGCGAGCCAAAATATCTCATCCGTCTCCATTTGTGCCAGTGTAGCAATGGTTATAATAGATTGGGGGAAAATGGTTCTAAATCTGGAAAATGACGTGGCCAAACCTGGCGCGGTCAAAGTCTCCGTTTCAACTGTACCAACTTAGACCTTTTGTTTCCGGAAAGCCCGTTTGACACAAATTTCATGTTTTGGATATGCGACTTGGTCGGGATGCTTGCTAGGCGACCTACAATAGACAAGGCAGGTAAGTGACAGCCATGGCAGTGTAAAAGATACAGATAGAGATGTATTGCCCCTGGTCGCTTTTTTCATGGGCACGAGGTCTGGTCTAGTAACCGATGTGGCTGGCCTCCGCGAACAGGGCTGGCGGGTGTATGACTTTGGTGGTCCAATATGACAATATTTACCTTTCGTTGACTCCCACATGGCGAATTGACTGTCAAGGGGTTGAAGACTGTTCCAGGTGGCCGAGGTTGCCACGTTACCAAGGAATGATGTTACCTTATCGATGTGGGACTCGCTACAGCAGAACCGTCCATGACCTGGTCTTCGCTAGTGGGATTGAGTGTTGTGCTCTTTGTAAGAGGTAAAAAGTGGGGCGTTACTCGAGGCACTGGGTGCACCCTATAATAGCATATCAGTGCCAGCGTCCTCGATTTCCTTCTTCTCATTGGAAATATCGACTATCGACAATTTACTGTCCGACATAACCAGAAATTGCCTCCTGGGAAGTACCCTTTTTAGGTCATCACTCGATTATGCGGTCAGCATGGAGAGCGTGGCTGTTGGTCGCTCTACTCTGGACGGATCGCTCGAAAGGATGGAGCTCCCAAGTGAATACTTCAATGTGCAACTGGTCTCAATCTAAGGGTATGTGCCTCGGTCCCTTCTTACGCTCGATAATAAAATGATCGAAGCTAGCTTAACGAGAGACAAAGTTTACTTTGCCGGGGGATCGAAGTGGGATTTGAAGTATGATGTTCTCGTGCTTCTGTGTGCTATTATGCTTATGCAATCTAGTGGTTATTCCGATGGAACATATGGAGTTCCCGAGAACGACGGTCAGTTTAAGTGTATGCAATACGCCGGTTATCATCTAACGTTCCCAGCGGGATTGAGTGGCACCATCGTCGAATTCTCGCTTCGTGAGCCCTACAATACCGATGTCACAAATCTCTCCGCTCTATTTACAAAGATCCCCGATCCGGCATACCACACAGTCGCGTTCGAAAGTGGAACAATGTTCACGAATGATGACGACCTGGTGCTCTATGGGTTCGTTGAATCTAAATTGGAGCAACGAGGCGCTAGCTAACGTCAGACAGTGGACTTCATCGGCCTACAGAGAGTGCTACTACTCCAGGGCCCCATGGGCTGCTTGGTTATCGGACCTTCCAGGAAAGCACTGTCAAAAATGACTGGGAACCAGGGTTCTTCAATATCACGCTTGATGGCAGCCTTACCAGGTTCGTGACAAATGGGGCGGGAGCATCAGTACCAAGCGAGGATTTAGGGTTCTACTTTGGCGGAAGACGAGGGGAGAACTGGGGACCGATCATGCTGGACGATGAGTCGGCCAACTTTACGGCCAATACGCTGATCTCGGTAAATATGACGCAGCAGGCGGAGTATCATCAGTGGGTCAATGAGACCTTGCCAGATCACATTGTATCACGTGCCGACGCAGAGCTCATATGGGTTCCTACCGGTGAGCGTGGTATTCTAGTCGTGATTGGGGGAGGAGTATATCCAGAGGTGCTGTATCCGTCAGGCCTTTCGAAGGCCCAGCAGAAGCAAAATGTGAGATGTCTCTCTACCTCCAGCGATCCATTGCTAACACGACCAGGCCGACGAGGATCCCTCGTTTATGCAGGCAATTCCGATTTACGATATTGCGAGCCAATCATGGTAATACCCCAGCAACCTCCGCCGAGTGACCGTTTTACTTATGAATGGCAGGTATGTACAGAACACCACGGGTGATATCCCGTCGCTCGGTCGGACAATGTTCTGCTCTACGTTAGCTTCGGCCAGCGACGGGAGTTCCCACAATATATATATCTACGGAGGCTACGATGGACAGGACGGGGAGAATGTGCCGTATGACGACGTCTATATTCTTTCTCTGCCATCCTTCATATGGACCAAGGTCTACAACGGGTCTTCGACCCACGGAAGAAGTGGTCATCGATGTTTCCGCGTTTTCCCAGACCAGATGTTGGTGATGGGTGGGCGCTTCAGAGACCCCTCGCTCTGTGTAGAAGGAGGAATTGTCCAGATTTTCAACCTCAACACGATGCGTTTCCAACCTAAGTATGCACCCGATGCTTGGAGCGACTACAGGTTACCCGACGCGATCAATAGCAAGATCGGGGGCAAGTATGAACGCTCCTCCATGTGGCCCAATATATATCCATGACTGATCACGGTTGATAGTGGACTTGGCGGTGCGAATATCAGAGCACCACAGAGGTGGACGGACAGTAAGGTTGAGGCCTTGTTCAGAGTACCGTATCAAAAGTCGATCAAAACTTGGTTCCCATACAATACCCCTTCGACGAAATCTGACTCCCCGAAAGCAGGCGGAGACACCTCACACACCGAGTCTCGTAGCTGGGTGTTGCCCGCTGCCCTCGGCGCTTCAATACCAGTCCTCGTGCTAGTGGTCATGGTTTCGTTTCTGTTCTACCGACGATCCCATCGTGCATCACAGGTTACGTGGATATCCTGGGGGCGACGAGTGCTTCGAAAGATTCGAGGGAAGGATGTTACCCCCGAGATGGACGGCACTAAGGTTGGAAAGAACCCCATACGAGTGCGTGTCGTCAATTCCGGTGTTGTTGAACTTGATACCAAACGGCCATCTGAGATAGAGGGGCCGGATAGACGCTCGTCAGCGTCTATTACAACGACACCCACCGAGATGTACTCTGGGGATACACTAGTTAGTCCTATTACCCCAAAATCCTAGTCTCGGCGTGAAAGATCTCCTATGCTCCAATCTCCATCGTATGGGCTGCGATGTGTCCAAAAATATCTAGACCCTGGAGCGGATATAAATAGGATGGTGATTAACATTTGATCTATATTAAGTCCTGAGTTAAAGGAAGCAGAAGGGGATATTTTAGGAACAACGAATACTTAGTGAGCGATAAGCGCCAATTCTAGAAGCATAGACACAATCGAGGTAAACGGCTCAATGCGCTGGATTCAAGGTGTTTATCGTGGCTTAAGCTCTAGGTACGAACACCGACAGTATTGTCTGGCGAATAGAACTAACAGGACTAGCTCCCCGGCGACCGTATCTGGTCTGGAGGTTGGGCCTTTGTGGAACGAGCCAGAGTATGACGCCCAACAAGATTCATTTACAACAGACGCCGTAAGCCCTCCGCCAGCCTACTGCTTGATTTCGGACCGAGAAACGAGAGGGCTGCGGTGCCAGCGCTGTAACAAGCGCCGATCTCGATCTTACCACAGGTGGCATAGGCTTGATCCCGTCAAATTCCCGCGTGATGGGATCTGCACGCGGTCGGACTGCGCGGCGGCTCAAGTAATTATTTTGTCAAATTTACATGAGCTCCCGGGCAGCTAGACGATAACCTTTCAGTGGATGCTTCTATCAGGAGGCTCAGCAGGGGCGTGTAGCATTTAGCGGGTGTGGGTTATATTTTTCATTACTAGAGTTTGAATTTGGTTTAAAACTCGGATATATACTGCCATCTCGATGGGCGTTAGTTCATTCTCAGGGTAGATTATGGAACCCAGGCCCAATAGCATACTCCACCGCCCAAGACTTTCTTCCAACTAGTTTGTCTTATTTCACGGGAAGACGTCATCTATTTTGAAAACATCGTACCCGTCATTTGCGCTATATTAAGATGCTTGAATTTGCACTTAGTAACCTCAAAGCAAAGCCCTGATATTCAAGACGTCTACCCCACTGCCGGCCGTCCTACCTCGCGCAGCCTTTAGAACTTGTGAAAACCCCCCTTCCTATGGGTACATGTGTCCCTAACTTCAAGTCCGACGACCACTATAGAATTTAGAGGGCGGAGCGAGACATGCGTAAGGTTGTATAATGAAGAGAGTTGCAGAGACTTCGAGCAGTTCCTTCACTTCAAGCACGGACGATTCTATAACGGGGACATTTCTATTTCTTGATTGGAACCATGCTCAAAATAAATCTCCCGTTTGTAGAAAATTTAGGATATATGAAGTTAGGAAGAGACTCCGCATTTCATCTTCCATTCAACCAGATCGGCCTTTCATGATTTAGAAAATTTGACCGGGTGTCGCTGTTGCACCCTGTATACAGGTGATTATTTGGGATTGCAGTACCAGACAGTAACTTTGTCCGTCAACGTCCATTGGTCGGTCCTCTTGATGTCATTAATTAACACGGAAGAAGCAATGTGCGAACCTTATCCAGCGATTTTTCCGACGAGGCTCATTGCAGACTATGAGCCTAGTCAACGTGCGCCCCCTACAAAGAAGCGTTTACTTTGCGATAGGTCATTCAAGTGTCGTAGGAACACGCTCCTGTCCCGGCTACCTATAGAGGTAGTGCTTCTTATTGTTGAACGCATGGAGTATAGAGCTCTTTATAACATCGCTTTGGTCAATCACAAATTTCGAGATATTGTGAGCCCGTATCTCTTTCGAAATATCTGGATCAGGACGTGTGTTTGCCATTGGCAAGAACTGATCCCAATACCAATTTTACCTTATGTTCGATCCATTACATACGTTGCCAGCTGGAAGGTCGAACCAGGCATGCGCAGGCCGAGCGCTGGTTGTGTTCACGTCGATGACATAGTATCCCAAGGCAGCGACCTCTGGTCGACTAGAAATCCACCCCCGTGGAAGCAGAAATACCATCTAGATATCAGGCCGGATGTGGAGTATCTGAATGCGATGATCCAGTCTTGTGCCAATTTAACTTCCCTCCACGTGACGCTCGAACCATGTCGCGGATGCTATTCTCCACTCGTGTACACACTGCCCGCCGAGTTAGTTCGTCAACATCTACAAGCGATCGGTCGCGTGCTTGATACAATTCGTAAGAGGGGCCCACGCCTAAAGAGCCTCGCTGTTGATATCTTTTGGGCCGATGACACGATCGAGGATCTAGAGGTGACATCCATGTTCCTAGAAGCCGTAAAAAGCATACCGAATTTAACGTTGCGGGGACAGTTTGGCTTTTGGGAACCTCTTCTCTGTTATGACCCGTCTCCTAGCCTCCAGTCGCTCGTGCTAAGTGACTGCGCCATCTGTTATAACACTCTGCAGGGTTTTGTTGACCGTGCCAATGGCAAGCTGAGGATGATCAGTCTTCAAAAGGTGTTTATACGTCCATTCCGCGAATTGGGGTATATCAGTAAGAGCGGATCGCCCGCTGGCATTTTGCGTTGGTTGCGAGAGATAAACGGCTGGGTACAAATCTGATTTCGGTGTAAGGCCAATGTCCTGATCGGGTTGGATGACATCATAATAGATGCTCATCTCCGAGATACGATGGTCCGACCGCTTGTTCAACGAACCTGACTTGAAAGTAATATTGTACTACACCGGGACATTTCTCATAGTATTGGTCTTATTCAATTCTGTTTGTCTCTGGGTACATATTGAAGTAGCATGGCTCGATGGCTGTCTGCTATCACATTTCATCTGAACATGTTCTCCACCCTTAAGCTTCGACATATTTGCCCTGCAGGAAGAAACACAAAATAATCGGGTTGAATATACTCTGTAAATATCAATCACTTGAACTGATTCCGCAGCGCAATTGTGTTTTTATTTTCGCGTAGCAGCTCCGACAAACATGCGGTGAAGGGCGTAGTGGCAGCTAGCTCAAAGAAAGCCTAGGCTTTCATAGCCCCTTCCTCTTATATGAAGCACCGAGGACGTCAGGTGGCGGTGCAGGTGGCGGAGCACGGTGGACCGCTGAGCCTAGGGAGCATCCTCGCTCACCTAATGATCACGCATTTCTAGGACGGGAGCCTTGTGTAGAGACCGTAATATATAAATTAAATCTTACTTCTTGGATCCATTCTCTCCATTGTTCTCTATCAGCAATTCTTCTATGACCAAGGTCAGACGCAAACAACTACCCATCAATTGCTTGTGTAGCTGTACCACTTCAAAATGTCCACCAGATACAAGATCATAGAGAACCTTATATGTGGTTTTCTCTGTATCACAACTTGGGCTGCCGCCAGCCTGTGCTGGGCCATTGTTGGCCTTGCACACATTCTACAGGACCGAGCAAAATCCGACATCGTCATTCCCGGCAAGGCCTATCCAGACAAGATGTTCATAAGTCTCATGGACAGGGTCGTGAGATCTACGGGAACCTTCGGCGCCGTTTCTACTCTCATTGCTCTTTTCGAAACCGTGATTATAACCACGAGGTGGCGAAGAGAATACGATCAGGCTGGGCTTTACTTTGTAGGCCTTGAAGCTGCACAGGTTGTGATTATGCTTGCTGCAGGAGGCTATGTCAGTGGCGAGATCCACGGTTATCAGACCTCATTTCAAAGGTTTCAGGCTGGCGACAAATTGGCATTTTACAACATCATGTACTATGGAGGTCTTGGTCAGGTGGGATATGGGGGTCTACTCATCTTGGTTCTAATCATGTTGCTACTGATAGCATGCCTGAGTGCACATAGGCCCTGCCATCATGGAAGGAGTAAGAACGAAGCAACGGAAGCGATGCAGGGCCATGAGAAATATGGGCGAGATAGCACAGAGGCTTCGTCTTGGCCCAACGGCGGGCAAGTATTATGTGATACAGCGATTAGCGTCCCCAAATGATATGTCCTAGATAAAGCTAGAGATCGATGTTGGAGGAGAAGAGAATGAAGGAGTGTGCATACAGGGGAAGACAAGTTGTCGGAATATGATACAATGTGCGTCTCGATGTCTTATTTTGATACCCTTTGTGACGTGCCTGACATAAGGTACGTACTCAACACAGCTGTCAGCGAACTCCTATCACGGGCGTTGTGTGTACGTAGGATCTGTATAGCTACTTACCAAAAGAAAAGGTTATACCAAAATATTTCAAATGCTAAAATAAGGCTAAACCAAAATACAAATCGAGGTGACAGATACCATACCCTCGCCTTTAGTAGCCAATTATAACCTGTCCAAAAGACATTAGCCTAGTAAGCGCCTCATTCAAATTTATATAAATACAGCCCATCTCACCCACAGCGTGAGCATATACCGACAACCCAGATTCCTATCAGAAATGAGCAGCACCGGTCCATCTAGGAGGACCCGTTCGCGCACCATGTTCTCTGCCACCCCACCCCCCTACAGAACAACCAGCACGAAAACGGATGCCACTTGCCTCTCTCAGTCGGGCTCAGGCGCAGGAAACAGAGAAGCACAATCATACCCGTCCATTACCTTTACTCCGGTGAATAAACAACTGGAAATTACAGGGCTTTCCGATAACTCCCTATCGACGCATGCGCATAGTGACCCCCGAGGATTTCGGAAATCAATTGTGGCCGATCCTGACTCCCACGCTTCCGACTCTAAGAAGAACAACTGTGAATCACATTCTAGTGACCCTAGACCTAATACGAGAGCTGCGGCGGCTCATGGCCTAGGAAACTGATTGGGTTACCCTATGATACGTATGATTTGACGGTCCTGGCGCTTCCTGGTGATACCTTGGCAACGTGAGTCCTAAGATAGCGCTGGGCCAGAATGGAATCACTGGCTTGATTGGTGCTACGAAGCCAATCATCTGGAATTAGGCCCAGGTACCAGTCTTGTTAGCGGCGACATGATTTCACTACGATCGCGTTACCCGGTTATACCATGCGTCTCCTTGCCTCCTTTGCTCATTCTGGTACCACGTCATTGCTTTATCCGCTCTGCCTTTTCAATATAGAAAGTCATGCTTACGAGGGATTTCTTTTTGTTATGGCAAGCTAGTGATGATATACTTGGTGT